CCTATTCCTATTCCTATTCTGTTCTATTCCTTATTCTATTCCTTATTCTATTCCTTATTCTATTCTTTATTCTATTCTTATTGCTATTCTATTCTATTCCTCTTCTCTTCCTCTTCCCTATTCTACTATTCTACTCTATTCTACTCTACTCCTATTCCTATTCTATTCTTATTCCTATTCTATTCTATTCCTCTTCTCTTCCTATTCCTCTTCCTATTCCCTATTCTACTCTACTTCTATTCCTATTCCTATTCTGTTCTATTCCGTTCTATTCCTTATTCTATTCCTTATTCTATTCTTTGTTCTATTCTTATTGCTATTCTATTCTATTCCTCTTCTCTTCCTATTCCTCTTCCTATTCCCTATTCTACTCTACTTCTATTCCTATTCCTGTTCCGTTCTATTCCTTATTCTATTCCTTATTCTATTCTATTCTTAATGCTATTCTATTCCTCTTCTCTTCCTCTTCCCTATTCTACTCTACTCCTATTCCTATTCTATTCTTATTCCTATTCCTATTGCTCTCCTGTCCTATTCTAAGGTGGGTGGACTAACAATTCCCAGAATCCCTCAGCCAACACGCTACAAGAGGGTTGATTTCCTAGCTGGGGAATTCTGGGAGGGGACGTCCACCCATTTGAAAGTTACCCAAGTTGGCAAAGACGGTTTCAACTTCCCAGTCCTTCACGAATCCCCTCTCTCCATTCTTGGCAGTCGGACCTCTTCCAGGATGACCTGTACCCAGACACCCCGGGTCCCGAGCCGGCCCTGGAGGCGGACGAATGGCTGGCGGGGAAAGACGCAGAGCCCCTCCTGGTCTCCCTGCGGGACGGTTACGTCCCCCTCAAGAACCGCGAGCTCAAAGTCAGTAAGAAGAACATCCTGGACAGCAAGCCCCCGGCCGGCACGCGCAGGACCCTCTCCAGCTGCGACTCCAATTTTTCTGTGAGTTGTGTGTGTGTGTATGAGAGAGAGAGAAGAAAAAGAAAAGAGAAAGGGGGAAAGAAAAGAGAGAGAGAAAAGAGGGAAAGAGAGAAAGAAAAAAGAGAGCAACAAAGAGGGAGGGAGAGAAAGAGGGAGACAGAACGGGAAAGAGAGCAAGAGAAAGACAGAGAGAGAGAGAATGTGGATTTTGTCTGTGAAAATCAACTGAGCCCCTTCCTCCTTCTTTAACTGACATCTCTTTCTCCTTTCTTTCTTTTCTCTTTTCTTTCTTCTCTGTTTCTCTTCATTCTCCTCCTCTCTTCCCCGTATTCCTCCTCCTTTTTCCCCTCTTCTCCCCTCCTTCTTTACTCCTCCTTTACTTATCCTTTTCCTTCCTCCTTCTCCTTTCCCCCCTTTCCTCTCCATCTCCTGCTTTCTTTCCTCTCCTTTTCATTCTCCTCGTCGTCCTTCTTTTCCTCTTTTTTCTTCTTCTTTCTTTCTTTCTCCTCTCCTTATCCTTTTCATTCCCCTCCTCCTCCTCCTTTTNAAAAACGCCCCGGGACACGGGACAAATTGTTATAAATCGTGACTGTCCCGCCAAAATCGGGACACCTGGTCACCTTATATTAAGAGTGAGGTCTGTTTCCCTGGGCCATGCCCATCGGTTAGGTTACAGTGGAGTCCCATCTGGGATGCCAATTGTTGGAAGAAATATCCTTCTGTCTTTTAAAACATGCTTCTTCCTTTTCACATCCGGAGGAAATATTCTGCCTTTTCAATATTTCCTAGGATATTTCATTTTTTTTCTGGGAGACGGCTGGGTGATAACTTCCTACAGGATCTAAACTATGGCCAGTCCTTATTTAAATGTGATATATTATTCACTTTCTTTTGGCACAAGGGGGCTGAACAATGGCCGTTTTCCAGACCAATCGATTCAATTAGCAGTGTTTTTTTCAACTTTTCAACACTTTGACACAAGTGGATTTCAGCTGCCGTAATTCCCCCGCTGGCTGAGGAATTATGGGAGTTGAAGTCCACACTTCTTAAAGTGGTGGAACTTGAGAAACATTGAGCTTCATTTGATGCAAAGACCATCCAAAAAACAGACTGGGTGGGAGATTATATGACTTTAAAAGAAATTTCTTAAGGGAAATTGCAGAGAAAATGGGATTTCCCTTCCACTCCTCTTAGGAACAACAAACTGAATTGACGTGATTCAGAAGCGTGTAGGGGGATTATGGGATGGGGGGAAGGGATGCAGGAGGGGAGCAAGACCCCAGGCATGCCAGACCCATAACTTCCGTCTCTTTCCCCCCACCGCACAGGTTTTACAAGCTGCACGAACGGAAATGTGAGCCCATCGTTATGACTGTACCCCGAAAGGTGAGAAGGAAGGAAGTAGTAGGGTTTCCTGCCTGAGCAGGGGGTTGGACTAGAAGACCTCCAAGGTCTCTTACCATTCTGTTATTCTGTAAACAAAATAGCCACCTTTGAGAGCACTTGCATGGTATGCAACTCCCAGAGGCAGAAAGGGTTTTCCCCTGGAGCCCCAAATCTGAATCCACCACCCTTATAAAAGATTGTAACTGTGAATCAGGGATCTTGGAGTCCTAGTGGACAACCATTNAAAGAAAGAAAGAAAGAAAGAAAGAAAGAAAGAAAGAAAAAGCCACAGAGCCTGATTTAGGGGAGAACCAGGGAAGATGCTTTGCAGCGTTTGGCAAAAGATCTTGGCCTTGCGGGAGGGGGGTGGGAGGGGAGGGGGAGCCGGCCTGAGACCCCTCCTCCTCCCCCGCAGGGGGACAGCAGCATCCGCTACTTCGAGATCACGGAGGAGGCGCCCTACGTCCACTACCTGAGCACCTTCAGCAGCAAGGAGCCACAGCGTGGCATGGGCTTCATGCCCAAACGGGGGCTCGACGTCAGCAAGTGCGAAATCGCCAGGTGGGGGGGCAACCGGGCGCTGGGATCTCCGGGGCTCTTAGCATCCTCCCCAACACGGCAATTCCTTTAGGGACCCTTCCAAATTACAACCCCACGGAGCAGAGGGACTCAAAATTACCGTTTTTCACACTTAGTGACCAAAAGTCAAAGGCTTGGCAACTGGCATGGACTTACGACGGTCGCCGTTGCCCAGCCCAGCTCCACCACGTGCGCCTTCGCGCCTCCCGCCAGCCAGCTGGTCTTCGGGTCTCCGTCGCGCATGTGCGAGGGGGGAGGAGGGGCGAAAGCGGGGGGATGACGACACTCGCGCAGAGGAGGCGGAGCGCATGCGCGGGGCTCACTCGCATTGCGTTTTGGGTCCTCGCACAGCGCCCCTCACCCATTTTTTTGGCTTCCCGGTTGGTGGGAAGCCTTTTGCACCAACCTGGAAGCCAAAAATGGGTGAGGGGCACGCGGTCATTGCGCAGGAGGAGGCAGGGTAGTGGGGGGGGTCACGCGCACATGCGCAGGGGTTGCACACGCATGCACGGGAGGGTGCATGCAGGGGAGTCGCTGTTACACGCATGCACGATTTTGGCACATGAGGACAGAAAGTTTAGCCATCACCGCTGCTATATTATATATCCAAAGGCCGATGCATTTTAGACCTGCAGCTCTTTACATCCCAGGGCCAAATTGATGGAGGATCTGAATTATAATTTAGATATAGGATTGTTGGAAGAAACGTCCTTCTGGGGTTCGGTTCCAAGTGGGGAAAAAGACACTGGAGACATGGAGGCTGCTTGGAAAGATGGTTTTAATGGTGGACAGGACCACATGGCTTGAGCTCCTGAACAGAAAAGGGGGATCCCATCCTTCCAGATGTTTGGTGAAGAAGAAAAAAATGAGGCTAATACTATCATGCCTTAATCCCATCACCCTGGAGATCTTTGTTATGTAGAATAGACTGGCTCAGGCCTTTAAATGGCCCAATGACAAAGGTGGGGGCTATTAAGATAAGGTGACCAGATTTTCAGATTGTTAAAGAGGGACACCTTTGACCGGGGTGGGTGGGGTGGGCTTGATTAAAAATTTTATACGGAGCAACAAAAATTTTCATACAACGCAAAAATAGTATTGTAATTTATTTATTTTTAATTTCAACATAACTACAATTTACAATTTGCTTTAACGTTTTATCTTCAATGAAAGTACTGAGACAGAGAGAGAGTTTAGACAGATTTCTTAAGCAAATCCACTGGGCTTTCAACATGAAGCCAGAAAATCGGGACTTTTAAAAAACCCCCCGGGACCCGGGACAAATTGTTATAAATCGGGGCTGGCCCGCCAAAATCGG